TTTTTTTATAAATATATTCTATAAATCTTCAAATATTAAATATATTTATTTAATTGCAAGTTAATATATAAAATTTGTATAATTACATTTTAATTCAAATGTATCAAGTTGATATATCATGCTTAATGAGACGACCAATACTAGAGTAAAAAAAGTGTTGTGCAAATATTGTTTGAAGTACCTGACAGCCCAAACAGCCACCAGGCACTTTTTTTCGATTGTAGTATAATTTTTTTCAGCTGGCATAATATCCTGACTAGTATAAGAAATTACTTCATTATAACCTTCGTCATTCTTTTAAGACAAAATCACACTCAATGCAATATTGAAAGCATCTGTAAATAAGATAAAGGGGTAATTGAAATCAGGATAGGCTAAAAAATAGGCCTGAATCAATTTTAGATTTAGTTGCTTGAAAGCTCCTTGTTCTCATGAGGCCCATGTATAAGGAATTCTCTTTTTTAATAATTAGTTTAGAAGGGCTGCTATACAGGTAAAATCAGAAATAAACTTTCAGTAATAAGATGCTAAACCAAGGAATCCTCATAACTAATATAAATTTCATAGAATGGAGAAATTTTCAATGGTGGCTATTTTTTAGGATCAGTTCCTATGCCATTATGGCTGACAATGTGGTCTAAGACTTTAATTTCTTGCTAAAAAAAAAAATATTTCACTGGTTTTAGTTTCAGACCAACATTTTTTAATCTATGCAGGACTTCTTGTATATGATTGAAATGTTCTTGAATGGTTTTAGAATAAACAACAATATCATCAATGTAGATAATAATAAACTCATCAATAAGGTCATGAAACAGGGTATCCATTAAGTATTGAAATATAGTAGGGGCATTAGTGAGGCCAAAGGGCATTATATTAAATTCAAATAACTCAAAGGGTGTAGTGAAGGCAGTTTTAGGTCTGTCATGGGAGTCCATTTCTGCTTGCCAATAGCCACTGGCAAGATCTAGGGAACTAAAATAATAAGCACCCCGCAATAAGTCTAGTAAGTCCTAGATACAAGGTAGTGGATAACTATCTTTATTCGTAAAGGAATTCAATTTTCGATAATCAATACAAAATCTAATTTTTTCTTCTCATTTAACTAAAACTACAGGGGATGCCCATGGGCTTTCTGAAACTCGAATAACACCTTCTCCTAGCAATCGGATTATTTTTTTTTTTTTAAACTTATGTTTCTTTGGAGTGTAACAATAAGGTTTTAATTTAACTGAGTGAGCATCACCCGTATTTATTTTATGCTGAACTATTTTAGTGTGACCTAATTCTTTTGATTCTCATATAAAACAGAATTGGTGCTGCTGCAAAAAATTTTCAAATTGGTTCTTAAAATCTTGCAATAGTGTACACACATGGTACAAAATCTCAGGAGTCTTTTTTTTATAGCAAAAGTCAAGTAGATCGGTAATTGGTTCATAAGCTTTTGTTACTAATTTATCAGTTGATAACACAAGAGCATAGCAAGAGCTCCTTAAGGCCAGGAGGTTTTCACAAGATAGATTACTACAATAGTTACTAGTGCTATTAGGAGTTGGCAAGGGGAGAGAACTGATCAACACTTCGTCATAACTATTATCAGGTTCTTCATCAGAATCAAGAGATATTAATACAGTGTTAGAAGGAAAAAAGGGCAAAGGTTTGTCATCAAACCAACAATCATCCTCTGATTCCCAACTCATTAACAGTTCTTCATGTAACTCATGGCCCTGCATGATGGTAGAAGGAATTGGTTGAAAGAAGTCATCAAAACTTGAAACCTCGTAAATTTGAGTCTCAAGGTTTTCATTGTCAAACTCAGCATCTTCATCAGTAAGGGATCCCTCCGACATGTTTTCATCTTTGTCTTCCTCATACAATTCTCTAGTTTTACTAGGTCTGTTCCTTTCTAGAAATTCACAAGTAATCTGACAAAATTCAACAGGAACAATGATTTCTTTATCTTCCCATAAAAATGACATTTCAGCAGTGGCCTAGTCGATTCAAGCTTTAACCTTTGATAACCAATTGTTGCCTACTATAGCTTGATACGCGAGGCATCAGTTACAACAACATCAACAGGCACTTTAACACCACCCACCTCAAACAGAAAAGAAGTAATTTCTTCTAATACTCATTTACTTTTCCTATATACATTTATCATATTAACTGTAGAGGGTCGTTCAATTTTTATACCTAACTCCCTTAAAAAATAAGAGGAGATGATGCTTCCAGAGGATCCACTGTCTAAAATAAGAGAAAAAACTTTATCTAATACTTTAACATCACAATATAATGCTGTTGACCTTATTTCCGGCACTATATTAATATTGTTTTTTAACTTTCTTTTAGTCATAACCTTTTTTCGTTTCAAGCTTCTATCTAATTCAGCTCACAAAGAAGGGGTAATGTGAATAAGCTAGCCAACAGTAATATTGGCTGGTTTATCCTGGACATCTGCTACAATATTATAAGAGGGCACAAGAGTTGCAATTTGGAGTAGTTCATCTTTGATAATATTTTGATGGATGATGGATTGTCATCTCAAGTTATTTTTATCCTTAAACTTTTCTTTAGGCACAACTTTTTCTTTAAGAGTTTTCTTTCTTATTAAAGTTTCAGGTTCCTTAAAAGTTTCCTTACTTTCTTCTTCTAGCAGTTCCTCTAATAGAGCTTCATCTATTGACACCTCCTTTTGGATCAGGTCCTCATTTATTTTAGCTCTAGTGGATTCAGTAGAACCCTTTTGGAATTCTCTAAAGAGCACATTTACGGAAGATCTTTTACATTCTTGCCTCTCTGCTGGCATAAATAAGGGCCAACCTTCTTCCTGAAGATTTAAAAAAGTCTTCTAGTTACGCGATTTTTCTTCCTTTTTATTATCCATTAATGAAAGAAGAGCTTAAAGAACCTCTTTGTTAACTGTTATATTCATATCAGATCCTGTGTTGAGGTTTTTAGTGTTACTTACATTTTCTTGACACATTCGACTAATGTGTCCAGGTTTACCACATTTATAACAAATCACTTTAGCTAAGTATTCTTTAGAATATTCTCGAAAGAATTTTTTCTTTTCCTGCAATTGCATAGTCATTTTGTTTACAGCCTCTACTAGTTTTTCAATTATGACCTTAGATTCTGACATAGAAGTTGAAGCTAAGAAGACTGGTAGAGGTTGTGAGTACATTATATAGAGGTAACCATTACCCTGCTGAGGATATTTAGAAATAGTAGACAGGTTAGAAGTCTTATAAAGGGCACTTTCAAAAGCTTTTGCTCTTTCAAAAGCTGCTTAAAGCATGTTAGGAAGAAAAGGGGACACTGCCACAAACAATTTGGGCTGTAACCCATTCATGAACATTTAGGCTTTAGCCATATCTGGGTATTGCAACCCTTCAGCCTCTACTCATCGAATTAATTGCTCAATGGAAATATAATAAGAATCAACTAACTTATTGTATATTTGTTTTCTCTGAGTCAAATCTGAGAACCATTTACTTTCTAATGCAGGCATACGAAATTGATAGATAAAAGTTAGCTTGAAACTATTTTGAGGTTGTGCATTATCATCCCAGCAGTCAATTACAAGAACTTGGTTGCGACAGATCATCTACTATATAGCCACAAGTCCTTTCAAACATGGTACGATAACAGGGATTTTCTGACTATCCTGTACTTGATTAGCTTCAAAGGCAATTTCAACTTCTTCTATCCAGGAAATAGGGTCTTGATCTCCCTCAGCAAAACCGAGTTATTCCACTTGCTTTAACTCAGGCTGGAAAGAGGCTACATTAACCTGTGACATGAGCGCAGTTTGCAATTGTTGAATCAATTGGGCAATTTGATTTGTCAAATTCATTAACAAGGTGTTTTGAGTTTGATTAGCCATCTCAATTTACTTATCACATGATAATGGATCAATCCACACAATCGGCATCAAATATAACTATTTGTTTAGGAGAATGAGAACTAAACCGATTTATACTCTAATAGATACGGTAAGGTAATAATGAAAAGGTACTTTGTGCGAATAGATTAATAAAGGAGGTTCGAATTGAGGTAAGGTAGTTTTAGTAGGGAAGGACAAGAAATTCTCCTGATGGATCATGTAAACAAGGTACACTGGCATGAGGTTAATACAAATAAGTTGAAAACAGGTTGTTCAAATTTTAATGATGAGAATTTTTGTACTTAATCAAAATTTTGTTTCTTGAGTTTATTTTGAAGCCTTTTTTTTTTTTCTCTCTGTCCCTTTATTTAATTCAAAAATTTCATTTTATATACATTTTTATTTATTATCCTACATGTTAATGCGCTACCTATTGCTCTGGCGTGCTATTTAGTACATTAGTGTGTCAATACTTTAAAATTCTAAGCCCGGCACGTCGACATGTTATCACGAACCCTTGATACTAGAATGTTCCCCTTTATTCACACGCATACGTGCTAACACGTTATCGTGCTATATGATGTACATGAAAGTAGACGATCATATGCTATCACTAGGGGTGGTTACAAGTTTTATCATGTATTTAATTATGAAATAAAATATAATACTGTTTTTAGAAACGCTTACTTATAAAAAAGGAAGGTAACGAAAATCAATTTCCCTGTCACAAATTTATAAATTTGTGACAATATCTTCGTTCAAAGTTTTAAAAAATTCTACTCAAGTCGATCATTTGCTAACAGGAGGAACCGTCGATGTTACACTAATGATTTTTCACCCGGTGTGCAGCATATAAAAAAATCATTTTACAATAC